GATATACCTGTGGTGGTAATTTGATTTCCACTTAAATGTAAACTTGTTAGAGTTTCGAGTTGTGAAATTTCGTATATTCCTTCATCTGAAATATGGTTTCCATTGAGATTGAGATGTTTCAGTTGGGATAAATTGAAACTGGACGAAATATAGGAAGCTCCTTTGTGAGAAATGTCATTTCTTGCCAAGCTTAAATAGGTTAGTTTCAATGTGGAACTATTCGAAAGATATTTCAAACCTTCATCTCGTAAAAAATTAATATCCAAGCTCAAAGATTCCAAATTAGTCATGTAGGGGCTTTCGGATAATGATTTTGCAAATTTCACACCTAGCTCATTATCATCCAATTGTAAAAATTTTAAATTTTGTAAATTTTCACACTGAACAAGAGCAATTCCTCCATCGTTAGAAATATTCGAATCTACAATTCTCAATTCTGTCAAATTCCTCAAATTGTTTCTTTCGGATAATTGAATTGCCAACTTTTGAGAACAAGCAAGTTTTAATTTTTTCATATTCGAAACCAAGGAAGAGTTTAGTATTTTCGAAATTGGCTCTGGAGCTCTACAATTTTCATACAAGGAAAGTCCATCCAATCTTTCGAATAACAATTCGTCTAATTTTTCACTCATTTCCAGATTTAAATTTCTTGAAGCATAAAACAAATTTAAACTAATTGGCAACTTTCGAATAACTTGCATCCAATCCTTACAAACAAGAGACAAATCGACAGCCACGATCGGAGAGATTCCAATAAATTCAAATATCAAATACATCATGTCGAATTGTTCTTGAAGTGGATGAATCACTTTCGCATAACTTTTTGTTGGTTTCATTTTTTTTTAATTGTTTCTAATTTTCAAATCTGAATTTGCAGTGAAATTTAAACTTTACAAAAGAAACTGTTAAAAAAAATGAGCAATTTAGTAAAGGGGGATATTAAATTAGTATTGCAATCATTAGATGAATGTGAAAATTTAAAATCTTGTTCGGAAATTAAATTATTTACAAAATTACAAATTAAATACGAAAGTGCAAGAAAGTATTCGATTCAAAAGGTGGAAATTATTCATCAGATACAAAAAGAAACTCCAAATAATCCATATTATTATTATCTAATTCCGAGATGTTTC